GCGTCACTGCTTCGTCTGGTGTAGAAGATGAGTGTGGGACAGGTGGTGAATCATCCAGGTCTGCCTGAGATAGTATCTCTTCCTCTTCTATCTCGGTCTCACGGGGTCAGAGGTTTCTCTGTGTGGTAATGATGGGTGTACTCTGGAACCTCTTCTTGCTGGGGAAGGGGGACCAGAATAGGCGTTCTGGTATGTGGGCCAAGCATTGTGGCCATTGCATGAGGTAAGGTGGTAATGGGTAAGGCCAGTGCTGTGCATATCAGGGCTGTGAATGCTCTGAGGGATGAGGCTTCGGCTTCACAGCATTCCATGTAGGTCTCAACTGTGACAGGGATGAATGTTGAGAGGAGAAGCAGGTGTCCTACATGTCTCCTTCCTCGCCACTATGCATGGAGGGTGGTGCAGGAGATGAAGGATTGTACTATGCTAGGTAGCTCGGGGAATGTTCGGTGCCGAGCAGTGGTGACCGCGGTGACGAAGAAACTGCTATGTCTGCAGGACTTAGGAGTTGTGCTGGTCCCACCTTGGGGTTGCGGTCGACCATTGGAGCGCTGAATGGTGCCGGGTTTGGCTTGTTAGACAGCATCAAGTCTTGGGTCGGTGCTGGTGGTGGCAGCATTGATCGCGGTGCCACTGCCTGTGCCATGCTCTGCACCAGAGTAATCGGTGCCATGGAGGAGACTTGACATCTCAACTCCAGTGCCGCGCATTGGGGCTCAGCAGGGGTCCGCTGAGGGATGGTGCCGGAGGAGCCCGGTGCCTCGTAAGTGCTCACTCTGGATGAGTGCAGCACTGAGGGTAAAGACCTCACTGGAGAAGCTCTCTTTTTCTGAGAAACCCTTGCTGGAGAGGTCGAGGCTTGTTTCCTGACAGTTTTGGAAGTCGGAGCCTTATCAGAGCTCAGGGATCTCGGTCTTTGAGACTCCCCGGAGAACGTCTCTTGTGGAGGTTGGAGGGATTTCTCCAGCAGAAGCATTTTCAAGGGGAGATCCCTGTCACATCTTGCCCTTGATGTTAAGTTGGTGCAATGTGAGCATTTCTGGGAGATACGAGTTTCTCCCAGACAGCGAATGCAGGATGTGTGGCCTTCAGAGACCAGCATCAGTTCACAGCAGGAGTCACACTTTTTAAATCCTGTTGACCCAGGCATGATTACAGTTAAGCCTCTACCACCTCTCAAGAGATAAGGGTGCGAGTTAATTGTAAAGGTAAACTGTAAAAACTGTTCCCAAACCAGGAGCTAAAGGGAGAAAAAGCCTCCTCCTTCTTCTTCGCTAGTCGGTTTCTTTCTTTCTTTTTGTTTTCTTTTTTTTTTTTAAATAAAGAAACACCACTAAGAAAACTATGTAACTATTTATAGACTAAGACTAACTAAACCACGTAACTAAATATAGACTAAAAAGAAGTTCCTTTGTAACTTTGTTGGGTTTTTTTGTTTGTTCAGAAAGTATCAAAGACAGCTCAGTCTGCAGCAGAGGATGGTTGAGAAGAAACTGGGGGGATAGTCGTGGGGGGCGCGCACTATAAGAGGTGCGAACAGCTGCACGAGATGACTCCTGTGCGCGCCCCTCCCCCGGCCAACTACTGCTGCGAGAAATCTCCGGCGCAGGGACGCACCAACAGCTAGAGTGGAGCACCCCCAGGGACACCACTCGAAGAAGTGATGCTTAGGATGTTATCTGAGCTATAAATTAAGTCATTAAAGTGGGGTTCTTTTCATCCCTCCCCCTTGCAAAAAAAAAAAAAAGTCGACAGTTTAAACCCACACAAAAGGATTCTAGAATTATAAAATAAATTAGTTTTAATAAGAATAAGAACTCTAAAGTCAAGTATCAGAGGGGTAGCCGTGTTAGTCTGAATCTGTAAAAAGCAACAGAGGGTCCTGTGGCACCTTTGAGACTAACAGAAGTACTGCACTTGCATCTGAAGAAGTGAGGTTCTTACCCACGAAAGCTTATGCTCCCAGTACTTCTGTCAACTCTAAAGTCTTCATTCTACAATTGTTAAGGAAGAACAGTTATGATTGGAAAATGTTTTACAACAGATATTAATTACTTTTAACTCATTTTCACTTGTAGGTGAAAACCCAGTTGTTCCTCAAATGTTTAGGATGGAATAACCTTCTTTGGAAATGTATACTTGCAAATGTGTTGTATCTAAATGCAAGCCTTCATATAATTGCTTGATAAGACTGTTAAAACATGTTACTACTTTTATATGTACAAACATAGCAAGATCATTTAATGCTATAACCGATTACTAATGTAAGAAGCCATCTGTGTACAGAAATATTTATATTAATTGGGAGTTGCTTAAGCATTACCAGATAACTAACTTCTTAACCAAACTCAAAAGCAAAAGTTTCTTTTCCAAGGAAAGGTAAGAACAAAGGACAATAACTTACTTGAGAACTATTAAAGTTTACAAACTCTCTAAGAATTATTTATGTTTAAAAAAAAAAGACTATTTTGAGTGATGAAAGACTTTTACAGAGAAAATAAGGAGATTTTGGACTCATTTGAGACAGAATTTCAACTCTTATTAAACCCTGATGGAACTAAAGGGATATTTCAGAAAATGGACTAAATAAAAGAAACAGTTCAAACTAACTTTAAGGATGTTCTGAGAATTTCCCGCCACAAAGATAAAAGTAATTAGATTCCTGGTGCATATATGTTAGGAGACGGCATAATCATGAGCTGGAGATACTACCAAGACAATTCCATAAAGGTGTTTAGCCAATGAAAGGCAGTGGCTGATATCTGAATCTAGCAACCCCTGAAAGAGGCATGCCTTCCTTCTTTAGTGAAATTATGGAAAAAGAAAAGTAAAAATCTATCTGAACTGCACAAGCAAGCAGTAACACTCTCCTCACCATAGTCTCCTAAGCTCGGCCTGCTCAGCATCTCTACAAGCAAAAACAAAAACAAAAACAAAAACAGCAGCAACCAGACAACCAAGAAGAACAAAGGAGCAACAACATAGCATCAAGAAGTAACCACTAGCCCAACACTCCTCCCCAACAAGAAAGAAAGGCTTAATAGATGTGATAATTTTACTTGTTTTTAACTGTGGTGTCCCTTAAGGCCAGGCAAAAAAACCCAGGTGACAAACAGTGGGAGTCACATCCCTGAATTGGGATTAAGAGAGAGAATTATTAAGATTTGGTATCATTTTTTGTTTCTCTAAATTATAAATGTTTAGAATAAAATTACTTGCTGCTCAACAACTTAAAATACCACATGTATAAAGATATTTCTAGGTTTTTAGAAAAAATAACTAATAAAACAAATTCTATCATGTGGCACCAGAGTAACATCTACATGGTTCATCGGCAGGGTTGGACCCTTTAGCTTCACCACCTCTAGCACTTGAGCTAACAGAACAACCGATGGTGAGTAGTAGATTGTCATCCTTAATGTGGAGCAGCATTAGAGGCAGTGAGACACGCACTTTGCCAATGGGTTTCACAGATATTTGATGACATCAGAGGAATGTTGTGACTCAGTAATCTTGGATTCCACTCCAGACTCTGGAGAGAAGTGTATTCTAGTGGGTAAAAACTTCTGCCCATTCCCCACCTGCCTGACCTCCTTCTGCATTGTCCCAGTCCTGTCTATTCCCCACCCCTAGTTCTTTGTCACAGTTTCTTTGCCCAGCAAGCCCTAGTGTCACCCCATTGGGCTCACTGTCCAAGTCCCAATTTCTCCTCCGTTCCCATTCTATCCCCCTCACCACATCCAATCTCAATCTCTTTGCCCAGCAAGTCTCAATTCTCCCATCCTGGCTCCTCATCCAATCAGTCTCTCCCCTCCCCCAACCAACAGCGATTCCTAGTCTCCCTTCCCAGCCTCCTCAACCAAACTCAGTTTCTCCCCCCACTGAGACTTCGCCTCAGTCTCACTCATCCGTGGCTTACTGTCCCAAGCCCTTTGCTCAGCCAGTCCCATTTTTCCCCCCTGTATCCCAGCTCCTTGTCAAATCTGTTTCCCCACCTCCATTTTCCCCCAACTGGTTGCTAGTCCTAGTGTCTTTATCTAACCAGTGCCAGTTTCCCCTCTTTTTGCTAATTCCAATCCCAGGGTTCCCCACCCTCAGCCAATTGGCTGCCAGCCCCTCTGTCTCATTTCCCTCAATACAGCTCTCAGTCCCAGACTCTCCACCCCTAAGTACCAGTCTTCTTGCACACCCTGTCCCAGTTTCTTCCCCACCTTCACCAGATTCCTTATTCCAATTTATTCCTTTCCCTCCCCTCTTATACAGCTTTTGTCCCCTGTGCATTTGAATAAGACCGCATACTCCTCCATGATGCCTAGAAGCCAGCATAAGGGTCATTGACAACATAGAAGAGAGAGGCTCTTAGTTCCAGTGCCTGAATCCACCCTGGCCTAGAGTGGCAATTGAATGGGAGTAGACATTAAAGGGGAAAATCCAGCTTCACCTAGCTGCAGAGATCATGCTCAGTCGCTTTGTGGAGATAGCACATATGCAGTCTCGTCAGCACTAGGAGTGGAGAGCTCGACCTTGGTCAATGAAGACAGAATCTTCAGAGATTTTAGCTGCTATAAATGAAGTCCCGACTGAGCATACGAGAACTACAATTTTTCAAAAGCTTATAACTTGGCCAAATTTGGACAGATTTTTCACGAGGCAGCAAAAGGCATATGCATCCCTGATACAAAGGCCACACTCATTTCAAGTCTCTGCTCCATAGCATAGATACATTAGAGCTATTTAAAAAAAAAAAAAAAAAAAGGGTTTCCAGAATTTTTTTTAACAATTGGCAAAACACGGTATTTCAACCAAATGGTCAAAGTTTGGCAAAGTTATAAGCAACTTAAACAGGGTCTTATAATGGGAAGACTTGTGTAACCTTAATAATAGGCAATACTACCAGCACCACCTACAATAAGGAATTACTGAGTGAGGTCCTACTTATCTAAATATAAATATGAAACTAAAAACAATATCAAATTAACTGTCCCGATGGGGCAATTTACCTTAAATTCTTCCACAATAATAGTCAGGGCTTCATGTCCAGCTTTCCTCATGTCTTCTAACTCAAGCTTGTGTTTCTCCTGTAAATAAATAAATAAATAAATAAATAAGTAACAAATATTATACAATAACTACATGGGATTAACAGAATCATATAAATTGAGATGCAACATCCAGTGAACCAAGTACACCTCTTTCCTAGTACAAGATTGTTCCTCATATTTTCTGATGTTTTGTGCCAACTAGATTTAAAAGTCTCAAGCAACAGAGTTTCTATCACTTCTCTTTAGATACTATCTTCCTGCCCACCTCAATTCAATGCTAAAAAGTAATTCCTAATATTCAGCTTAAGTTTTCCATTTCTTCCTATTACTTCTCCTTGTGCCATACTAAATACTTCTCCATTCTTTATATTTATACCCTTCAAATATCTGAATACCTATTGTCTTTTTTGTTGTTGTTGTTATTATATCTATTACCCTAATGTCTTTGTAGTTTCGTGATGAAGATGTTTTAAATTTTGATTCTCTTTTGCCTTAAAAGGAGTTGGGGTGGTCAGTATCTCTCTGGATCAGAACTTTATGACTTGCCTCAATTTAATCCCTCAAACCCCATGACTATTTTTATTACCTATTTTTTAACTCAGGGAAAGGCCTTGCTATGACAGTTTCTGTGAGGAGTCTTGTCAGCCTTCTAGAAGACTTATAAAGGAAAGCTTCAGGCCTGATTCTTTCATCTCTAGTCTGCTTAAACTTTGAACAGGGGAAGTATAAGTCATAAGATGGAGATCTTTCAAACATTCATTTGGAGTAACCTGGAAAATGCTTGGAAAGACCTTAACAGATTTTACATCTAAGCTGCCTTTGAATTCTGACTTGTTGGGATGATTCCAGAGAATCTATTTATTCTATTACTGCTGTGATCCTAAATTATGAACACTAGAAGTCACTTGTATGTATATTTACGTATGTATGTCTTTTAACTGTTTGCAACTCTCTTTTTTCCATTTATTATTAAACCTTTAGTTTTAGTTACTAAAGGATTGGCATCAGCATGATTATTGGGTAAGATCTGAGACTCACTGACCTGGGGATAAGCGTCTAGTCCTTTGGGATTGGTGAATCAGATTTTCAGTAACCTCTCACTATATGGGATACCTAAAGGGGACTGTGTTTGACTTCTTGGTAACCAGTGTGGTATTACAGAGCAGCTGTTTTGTTACTGGCTTGGTGAATCTAAATATAAAATAAACCACCAGTTTTTGCGGATTGTCTGTCCTATTTCTTGCAGTCTGCCCTGAGTAAGGCATTCTCAATGTGGTCCATCCAGGCACCCGGTCACAAAGGACTATTATACAGCACAAAAATACATTTTTTTTAAGTGCCATAATGTTCAGTGAATTCATATTTAGTTTACTGTCCACTATCACCCCTAGATCTTACTATTACTGCTTCCCAATTTTCTTCCTTTAAATAATTATACATTTTGAAGTATTATATAATACATTATTGCATTAGCTTGCATTTTTCTAAATGGAATCTTACTTTGTTATTTTCTGTACATTGTTCTGAATTCTCTGGATTACTTTGCATTATTTCTCACTAATGGCAGGTGTTCACAATTACTTTCAAATTTCACTGTCATGCTATTTACTACTACTCCTATATCATAAATTAAAATATTAAACAGACCTGTCTGTAATCCATGTTGAACCCTTAGTACACACCTCTCCCCAACTCAATACATTGTTTTTTTATTTTTCTTATTTTGCCAGTTTTCAGCACATGTTCTTCTCCAAGCCAATCTGAATTAATTTTCAATTAAAATTTAGAGACCATACCAAATACTTTACTCACATAGAAATATTACACTTTCTGCATTCCCTTCATACATTAACAATTCTAACAAAAAGAAATGTTGGTGAATTGGGGGAAGCTCTAGAAGATAAATGGAACAGTATAATGTTCACTGTATCTAAAGCATCTGTCAACTCTCTGTAACCTGAGTTTGAAATTTGGGCATCTTGTTAGATCTTCTGTTGCTTTTTGAGATAGTAACCGGGATCAACGCATTTTTTTCCATCTGTGCCTGATAAGGAGGTTGAAACCCTTTCTCCCCCACCCCCAAATGTGGGTCTTGCTACACTGGTCTACTCTTGAGATTAAGCTATTACAATGTGCTGTTTCACAGATCCAGTTGGGCTCCCATTAGGGTTTTACGCCTCTGGAGTGTGTGTGGGGGGGTAATCTGTGTTCAGGAAGGCAAAGCTCCCCAAATTTGTATATGCAGTTCCTCTCAGCTAATAAAAATGGCTGAAGAGAGACAACAAATAGAGGAGATTCTTCCCTTTTTATAACCTTGCAGTCCCCTCTGTTAGCTGATTCTATTCAGCCTCAACATGTGACCACAGTCCCTGACCAGATGATCCATTGCCTACTTACCTCCCCCTGGAGGTCAGATTTGAAAAGCTCTGGGTGACAGCCCTCTCTTGAGCCTGGTCCACACTAACCCCCCACTTCGAACTAAGATACGCAACTTCAGCTACGTGAATAACGTAGCTGAAGTCGAAGTACCTTAGTTCGAACTTACCGCGGGTCCACACGCGGCAGGCAGGCTCCCCCGTCAACACCGCGTACTCCTCTCACAGAGCAGGAGTACCAGCGTCGACGGCGAGCACTTCTGGGATCGATTTATCGCGTCTAGACAAGACACGATAAATCGATCCCAGAAGATCGATTGCTTACTGCCGGACCCAGAGGTAAGTATAGACCTACCCTTTGTTTAAGGGTGCTAAATTTGAATAGGTGGTCATTGAAGTTTAACAACCTTCTATTGTCAGCCCTGTACTACTGTCCTTTGGAACTTCTATCCATCACAGAAGTAAAGGACTGCAAAAGCAAACACCTGGTTTACACTCAAAATGGAGTTTGCAGTCTGGCACACGGTGTTCATAATCTCACAGAATATAAATTATGCAGATTCTCCAAATCATCACAGTTGTACCTGGAGACACGTTTTAAATCCATTTGAAAACCTAACCTCCAGTGCAGAAGAACACTCGTCAAGCAGGGTATCTTGCAGTGAGTACACGACAACCTGTGCTACATGACCTGCACTGCTACTTATTGCTTTCTGGGCAGAATTTGAAGAGTTCGTTTCAATTTATAAAGTTCTAAATGTTTTGAGACATATTTACTTGAGATTCAAATCTTCTTATGTGCAATATGCCACAGTTGCTATTAGCAAAAGCATTTAATTGGGAGCCCTAATATGTTAAGAGAAAGGGTCTACTGGCCAATCACTCTACCCAGTGCCACCTTGATTCTGGAATCTCCCTTCTTAGAATGTTTTTGTGGGGTTGTGATCTTTGGAAAGATGATGAATGGGGATGTTTTGCTCATTTTAATTAGTTAGAAACTTTTTTGATGTGAAAACTACTATTGATTTTTTATTTCCCAGTTGTATTGTAATTGTAGAAATTGTTTAAGAACCTAGGGTTAATATTCGAAGATATTTAAGTACCTAAAAATGCAGATAGGTGTCAAGTGCGATTTTGAAATGAGCCTAGGCACCTAATTCCCATTGAAGTCATATGGGTAAATAAATACCTTTGATATCCTGGGCCCTAGACCCTAGAATAGGATGTATTTTATGTATTTTTAAATTTATGAAACATTTTATTGCCTAATAAATATTTCATCAGTTAGATAGTACATCATGAATGCCCAACTAACACACATCATCCTCTTCCACTGCAGAACAATATCCTACACAACAAACTATTTTTCAAATTAAATAACTGTAATAAGTATGGAAATTAAAATATAATTTAATACAGATACTTTATGTACCCAAGTGATAACAGATTATAGTAAGTGAAAACAGTATTTAATGAAATTTAAACATTTTAATTGTTTGCTACATCTCTAGATTTTTCAATAAACAATGAGTCCGAATCACAGCTTTTTACATTGGCATACCTCCTGATCTATATGCAGCAAAAGTATTTGGCTACTTGAAGGTAATCACCTGTAAGAATTTTAGGAGCAATATTGAATATCAGACTCAAAGCAGAAGATTTAATTGCGGCCGGGGGAGGGTAGGATTTTAATATGCAAATACACTACTATGTTTAGATATAGTCCTCATGTGATGTTAACATCTGGATGTATAAGTCAGGTCACATCATGTAACTCATATCAATGACACCACATGCTAACTCAGACCTTGTAAAAAAAACCCACACTTGATATGCTGAGAACTAGCAACTTTTTTAAGTACAAAAGAATAGAATCTACTGTATGGGAAAAATATGGTCCAGAGCTTAATATCCAAAACTTCACAAGTCATTAGCAAATTAAGTTAGCTGTAAGAAGTGAACATGGGAAAGTGCAGAAAGCAAGCATTTCCATGCCACTATATCTTTGATCATAGATATGGAGAAGGGGACTGCGGGTAAAGATCATTTTCAGTAACAATTCTGGCAGAACAGCATTGGAGAGAAAATGTTATGAATTGAAAAAGCTTTAAAATAAAAATAGTTAAAGGGTCAAGACAGGAAAATATTTTTTCAAAGATCATTTCAAACATAAGTGAGCAATAACAAGATTGATGGGATCAAAAATGTTAGTTTCACTGTGAGAACAACATTTGATTTTAGTTTATAAGATCAGGTCCCCTCTTCGGCTCAAATGGAGGCATCTGAAAAATGCAAAACAGAAGGATAACCACCATGTGTGCCCCGTAAACTTCTCTTCATAGTGAATCTTTCAAGTTTTAATATAAAATAATTGTTCATACCCACATCTAAGCAATACATGCTAAATCTAAACTAGTAACTCATGCCCATGGGATTATTACATTCAGATTAGGTTATAAATAGTAATATGAAAATGCCAGATTAAGCAGATGAGTACCGTATATACTCGTTCATTAGCCCGTTCGTTTATAAGCCGACCCCCCAAAATGGATAGATAAAAATAGCAAAAACTGTATGACCCTTTCATAAGACGACCCTATATTTCAAGGTTTGGCAAACTTTGGCTCCTCGCTTACATTAGGGTAAGCCGCTAGTGGGCCT